TCTGGTCAGCAGGATTCTGTGGTCTTTTTCTAAGAAACCTGTCCTGTTTTTGTCTGATGTTAAAGGTAAAGATCAAGACACCATTATCTTAGGTGAATATTCACTAGGCCAGTTTATTTTTGATCTACTTGAATAGGAGTTCAAGAGCTTGACTTTTGTCTCTTCTCTGAAGAAGATTGTGGTCTGATTTGTGCTGAAGGACTGTAAAGGCATCTGAACCAAGATCTGCACATACAATTTGATAGTCAAGGATAAATGTCTAGGACATTCACCCTGACATCTTAAGGTCTCTTCTGCTCAAGAAAGGCTGGATCTGATTGATCGTGCAGTTAGGTGTGTCTATCTTGTGACTACCTTATCTAAAATGTTAGTTTCTAGTGTGATGAGACGAATGCTTATCATGAAGAATTGTGCTTGAAGTAGGTTGCCATCAAGGTAACTATTCTTATTCTCCAAAGAAGGGACTGTCTGTTTTCCATCTATATCCTACATGATATAGGTTGTTTATGCTATTTCTCAAACTTGATATCATAATCAAACCTATGAGAATATGAGACTTTTATTCTATTGTGATGAAGGAGCTCTGCAAGTTGAGGTAATGTCAGAAAACCTAAAAGGGATGGATCTTCAAGACCGTATCAAGAAAGGTAGAACTCTGTGAGGTTTCATCAATTGGCTATCTAGGTCATTGATGTGGTTCAAATGCCATGTCATTCTGCTGAACATCAGAATGTTCATGCTGAAGGGAATGTATGCACTGAAGTCGTCTCTTCTTGGTAAAGGCTGGTGTCTTTAGACTTATATGCTCTCAATCTATATGACAGTCTCCAAGGTCTATCTTAACCTTTGTGAACCATTCAATGGCTAAAGTTTAAGGGAGCTGCTGATTGCTTGTTTATTTCATATCCTCTTCTTGGAGTGTCATCTAAGATGTTTGATATTAATATTTCAGACACCTGTTTAGAGTAAAGTAGTTTCAAACTGGAAGTTCCAGTTCTGATGTAGTTTCCATATAATCAAGGTCCTTGTGTAAGGGTTTCTGGTTGGTCACTTATAGAAGAAGATGTGTCAAAGGACAATTGTTATTTGTACGTGCTCTAAGGAACTACGTGCTCAAGCTTTTTGACCAAGGATTTTGTAGTCACCACATGTTGGAACATTAGCCTTTGCAAATGCTAATGCACTTCATCTTATGGTGTTAATGTGGATTGTGCAAAGTGGAGTCTTAAAGGTGATAGTACACACATGACATAAATTAATGACATCTGATCTAACATTAGAGACAGAAAACAAAACAACACTTTACTCCCCCTTTTTAGCCAAAAATTGACAAAAGGAAATAAATAAATGTAAACAAAAATGGAATCACATACAATAGAAGCACAAAAGTAACAAAATGCATGCAACACAAGTTCAGATGGAAACAAAAAACAAATCACTTTTAGATGATCCTCCAACTCTTGCCTCTATAAAAGATCCTTCTGCACTCCTTGAAGTTGTGACCTGTCTCAGAAAGAGTGACAATACGTGACATACAATTAACAAACGAAAACTCTAGGGACTAACCAAAACAACGGCTAATCCCAGTTCTCTAAATTCTTCACGATATGCTCTCTTTTTCCAATAGGGTTTTTCATCTTTTTAAATAGCCTTCAGACCTATTGGACTTGGCCTTTTTGAGGCGCACAAATAACATCAATCAGTATGAACTGCCTGCAAATTAACCTGCATAATAATAGGAGAAAAATACAAACTTTCCTAAAAAGGCTCAAGGATCCTTTTTATGAAAAGTAACAGAAATTCTCATAATATACTCCCATAAAAGTCGCCCACGTGTGCATCACACTAAAATTATCATAATAGTCATGCCTTAACTATTTGGTATAACATGTCTTGGAATATGTTACAACATCATGTAGAACATGATGTCTGACTGACATGGCAGAACATCTGATTCAACATCTTGCTAACAACATGTTGTTTTACTAAAATGCAGCCAATTCAAAAACCACGAGACTTACACAAATTATTAGTCCAAAAGAAAAAATAAAGTCCAACCCGGTACACATTAGAAAAATTATGAAGCTCGAGTACTGTTCACACTTTCAATTGACAACGAAGGGAACATTAAGTTCAACAACTTCGAGCTCAAGACTTCTGTAGATGTAAGAGCTATGTGAAATATAATTTTTTTACGAAAAAAAATTTGTGATCGAGCTGAATGCAAAAATAGCGAGATATGTCAAAGATATTGTTAGGATGTTTGAACGTCCACCTTGTCTCTAAATATGTTTTATCTATGTAATGTTTGATTATTTATGTAATATTTTATTTAAAGTTATCAATTTTAATTTAAATTTAAATATGCATCAATCAACATATGTGTTAGTGAATATGTGTTTCACTATATTCTATAGATGCATATCTAAAATAAAGGCATCCTGACATTTGAGGTATTGCTAAAGAGGAATGTGATTTGAGTGTTTGAATGCCTTAAGAGATATGTCTTTAAAATCTAAGATATTTTAGATTTTTTTACTAAGGTGTGGTAGTAATTCAAATGGAGTCTCTTACCATCCCTAATTATAATCTTACCTTTTATTCTATGATTAAATAAGTTTTTGATTCTTATAAATATATTAAATTTTGTTTTTAACAGGGGTGAGATTTCAACAAAAAATCTCCGTACGGTGCTTGTGTTTTTAGTTAGTTATCTTAATTTCATTTTATCTTAACTAATTTGTTAAGTTAAATATTACATTTCTTTTACTCATTATACTAAATCAGATTAATTTAGATTTTAATTAATATCATTTTTTAAATGTTTAATTAATCAACTAAAGAAATTAAATAATTTAGGAAAAGTAATTAAAAATTTAATAAATCTCATATTTTTTAGTTAAAATTTTGAGGCATAATTTATTTAAGTTTTTTGAAATATAATAAAGAAAAAAATATTAATATGGTTATGGTTTCATAGCCAAGTTATCATGTTCAACATTGGTTGTAGTATATTGCTATCAAGGGACCAAGTTTTTAATATAAAAGGACCTACTAGTATATGATATTTTATGAAAAGTTTGAAAGTTTTTTATTCTTGTTTCATAAAATACTCAAAATTAAAACCTTATCATAAAAAACTCTCACAGAAATTCTGAACTTCAAAAAAATTTGTGACTGTGGTGACAGAAAAGATGAGAAGAAGATGGTCCTTTTACATGGATATTCTGCCAGTTATTGTGATTATATGCTTTGAATGTATGGTGATGGGTTTACTCACCTTGTTCAAAGCAGCTACACTTGAAGGAATGAACAATCATGTCTTTGTTGCATATGCTTATGCTCTTGGTACTTTTGTTCTTCTCCCTGTCACTCTTTTCACTAGAAGGTTCACAATTCTTCATTTATTTCAATATTTCAATTTCATATAATTTGGTGCATCTTTAGATTGACTATGAGTATGACAAAATGTGTTGTATTATCTTTTTGCAGATCAAGAGTGGTTCCTCCTCCACTGAATTTCGCCATTATATGCAAAAGTTTGCTTCTTGGGGCAATAGGGTAATAGCAAAATGGCCTTATGCTTTACTACAATAGTATTGATTTGAATACTATTTGGTTATAGGTAGTATTGATGTTAGTTAGTTTTGTAATTGTATGGTGCTGTTATGCAGATGTGCATCTCAGATTCTGGAGTTTATTAGTATTAATTACAGTTCTCCAACACTTGCTTCAGCAATTGCTAATTTGGTACCTGCTTTCACTTTCATTCTAGCTGTCACTTTCAGGTTTGATCATTATATTTGAATTAGGCAGTGATTTACAATAACCACTATAGAAACATCTTAATCTATTTTTTTCTCTTATCTCTCTGCAATTTAGGATGGAAAAGTTATCTTTAAAGAGTAGAAGTAGTAATGCTAAAGTATTGGGAAGCATAATATCAATAGCAGGTGCTTTTGTCTTGACTTTCTACAAAGGACAATCCATCTTGAATGCCTCACCACTTCATCAACCAATTGGATTTCTCAAGTCAGTCGATTCAGGTTGGGTCATTGCTGGCATTCTGCTAATAGTTGACAATTTTCTGCTTTCCCTATGGTACATTTTACAGGTACGTACAAAATAAAAGATTATACTTTAAATTTTAAGACCTAAAGTGCATAAGTTTATGCAGTGCATACTAGACACGGACAATGAAAAACTCGACATTAAAACGTAAACATTAGTAATAATTTGAGAAAATAGAAGTGATTGTCTGCAACCATGTATACACTAGTACTTGTTCAATTTGAAGTGTTCATTGATGCTACATATAGTACTATTTACTAGAATGTGTGACAGTTGTTTTACTTAATTTTCTCATTTGCGATTACCACTTGCACTTAGTTCTGTTTTCAATAATACATTCAATGATTCTTTTCAACACTGCGTTTGAATATCACTCAATAATCGATAATATGTTGAAAAGTGTGTTACAAGAAATTGAGAATGTCATCAACACTTCTGAAGGAAAGCGCGTCCGTTGTCCGACATTGTCCATCGGCACTACGCCAAGCCAACACATGTGATTACGTTCAATTAATTTATTTTTTCAATACTCACCAGTATCGACTTGTCTATGTGAATGTCTATGTAAATACTTTATAGATTTTTAGTATTACTCTCTAAAATTAGCTACTTGTTATTGAATGAGAGCTTTAGAAATTTAGTCCTAACAATTTTCTGGTCCTATATTCATTTAACAGGTACATATCTTGAATGATTTCCCGGATGAACTAACTTTAGTCTTGTTAACCTCCACTAGTTCAACCATCATATCAACAGTTGTAGCTTTGTTATCAGTTCCAAATGCAAGTGCTTGGAAAATAGGACTAAATCTCTCACTCATCTCCATTGTTTCCTCTGTAAGTTATACTGCAAATTACTGTTACACTTCGGCCAAAGAATACAAGCTCTTAAGTTTGAGCAGTTTATTGATGATGCATTTCTTTTTCCAGGCAATTTTTGGAAAGTTAATAGGCAACATAGTTTCTGCATGGTCAATTCACTTAAAGGGAGCGGTCTATGTAACCTCATTCAACCCACTGCAAATTGTTATTTCTGTTATCTTGGGAGTTATATTCCTCGGTGATTCTCTTTATGTTGGAAGGTATGCAAATAATTCAATTTTTGCAATTGATTCTTGTTTGAAACATGGTAAATGAATATATAAGTCTCCCACTAGATGAAGCCTGACGAATATAGATGTTCCTAGCATACGTTAGCTATATAATTGTCGGAAACTAAAAGTTAGTGAATTAAATGCCATCTCATAGTTATTCCAATGCAAATTCTTTATAATCATCGTTAACTATAAAAAATATAACTATTAAAAACCTGGATTAAATATGCTCTTAATTATATGGTGGTTAAAGTTTTAACTTATATATATATTTTTTTTGCAATTTGTAGTATAATAGGAGCCACAATCATTTCAATTGGGCTTTATGGTGTATTATGGGGCAAAGCAACAGAAGAGATAGAGGAAGATGTTGGTATCCTAGACTCACCATCTACAGAGAATGCACCTCTTTTGCAAAGTTATGGAACTCAAACTTTTGAAAAGAAAAAAGATGGAAATGTTTAAAAACATGGTTATCAAATCAAATTTTATTTATGAACTAAGAGGCATACACATCGAAGCATGAATAGTAAGATACATAAAAAAAAAGAAGAAAAAAAAGAAAAAGAAAATGAAAGACATTTTAAGTAAATATCAAATCTACCATATAAAAAAAAGACTGTTTTGAAAAATAATTTTTTTCCCCATCTTCTACATCTGAAAACACATTATTTTAGAAGTAAATTGAGTCTTTTTTCACAATATCTTAACAATCCAACCATTTAGTTGCTATGCTTCTCTCACATTACCACATTTTTCACTTTCCTCTCAACAAGATATGCACGTCTGGTTACTCTCTCTCTTCCATTTACATCCAACTTTTCTGCAGTAATCACAACCCGAAACTTTTCAATCATCGATTTTTTCGTATATTTGAGACACAATTCGACCAGTCCGTCTACATATCCAAGAGATTTATTCTGCCTAATCTTTTTAGAAATTATTCATGCTGGAAAACACGTTATGTTGTACAAGCAATGCAAAATGAAAATAAAGTCAGACAAATGAAAATTTGAAATAGGTAGGACAAATTTGGGGTATGATATGTATAACAAAGCCCCGAACCTTAGATCTCTAGCTTTATTGTTACATAGCACACTTAGGTTTTTTTTTCCGATCCTTACCCTTTCCTTTAGATAAATCAAAGCTTGGTGGTGAATTTCATAGATTTGTGATTCAAGTTAATTAATAGCTTGACATTTGATTCTCACCTCAACAATTGTTAAGTTAATGCTATTGTTGTTAGCTAGGAAAAGATCTACAAAAGGTTGTTGTTCTTATTGTTGTTAAGGTTACGTTGTTGTTGTTGTCGTTGTTGTTATTGTTATTGTTGTTGTGGAGATTGAATGTTTAATGTTATTGTTGTTGTGTTATCCTAATTTAAATATTTTTCAAATTAAAATATTTTTTAAATTATAGGTGATTAATGATCAAACATCATTCACACAGGAAGATATAAATGACGTTCATTCATGTTAGGCCGATTGCTTCCTAGAATTTTTTAATTTACAAGTACATTAATTTCTCTTGTTTGTTGTCTTGTTAATTAATTAATCATCTATATATATATATATATATATATATATATATATATATATATATATATATATATATATATATATATATATATATATATATATATATATATATATATATATATATATATATATATATATATATATATATATATATATATATATATATATATATATATATATATATATATATATATATATATATATATATATATATATATTAGTTTTGTTGTTAAAAAAAAAGTACTTTTCCATTTTGAGTTTGAAGTAAACAATGTAGTTTTATACATATATAATGTATATGTAGTTGTTTCACAAATGTGTCATTTGGTTATTTTTTACAAAAATGTGTATCGAGGTTTCGTCTAAAAAATATATGTTAAAAATAAAATTACATAATATATATATATATATATATATATATATATATATATATATATATATATATATATATATATATATATATATATATATATATATATATATATATATATATATATATAAACAAGGGATTTGTCCGTAAACACACACTTTTCATGTCGAATATAAAAAGCAACCGAGATAAAAAGTGGTCCACTTTTTTGTTTTGAAAATAGAAAAATACTATTTTTGAGGGTCAAACTCAACCAGCGTCATTTCCTTTTCGGTTGACAACTCAATAAAAAAAGGTGACACAATTTCCATATCACCCTCTATTACCTTTTCACTAAACCGACTTATTTCTAACTCTAATAAAAGTCTGTATTTATAATATTGTCTCTTTTATTTCACAACTTTCACTCTACTCCCTCTTCGTATGATACTTTTGAAAATTTTATGGAGTGTAAATGTTTAGAAAACAAAATCAAAGATTTACATAAGACACTTGATAAATTTACAAAAGGTGGATAAAACTTGAATATCATATGTAATCAAACATGAACATATAAAAAATTTGGTTTAGGATATCAATATGAAATTAATGCCAAATTCTTTGAAAAAATTGTTATGCTAATATGCCTAAATGTATTTATTTGTAGTAAAAGTGATCATATCTTTTTCTCTTGCTTTATAGGAAAAAACCATGAATTTAACATGAAACAAACTACTTCTTCATCTTATTTCTCTAAGAAATATTTTGAAGATGGTTTGAAATGGACTTTTAGAAATACCTTGTATTTCACTAACTCTAAAAGATCTAAAATGATTCGGGTATCTGAAAAAACTCAGCTTTACAATTTAAGTGTCTTTTGTTGTTTCAAATGGTAAATGTTATCTAATAGTGGCTATTAAAAGCATATCAAAATAGATAAAAATATATTATTTTCTTTTACTCCTAAGAAATAATGATTTTGTTTTCTATGGCGATAATTTTAAAGGTAGAATCATGGGTTATGTTGTTTTTAGTATGTATCATAATCCAATGATTTAATATTCTTTATTAATTGAAGGTTTAATGCATGATTTTCTTAGTATTATTCATTTATATGTAAAGGTAACAAGGCAATGCTCATTTCGCCTATATGAAAAGTCATAAGAAAACTAACTAACGAATTTTACTAGTTAAAGAAGTAGAAATATTTATAATGTTAACTTTAATAAATTAGTTTCAAATTATGTATGTGTAATAAGTAAAGAGAATAAATCGTGGCTATGGCATTACCGTTACAAATATATTATATTTTATGACGAAGTTCTCATTTTAATTATTATAAAATTGTGGTATAATTTTTAGATGCGCCTTATTTTTTATAAAAAAAATATATTTAATATATTTTGTTGATATTTTTGAAAACCAAAGAGTAAACGTGTGTCGCTATGCGAAAAATAACACAGAGTCACCACCGAATTTTATTCATCCCAAAGAGGAAAAGAGAAATAACGATAAAACCTCTAGAAAAAGAGCATGGTCATCGCAACCAAGTCTTAGGGTTCGGGAGTCGGTTATGCGAGAGGAAGGTATTAGCACCCCCTCGCATCCATCGTACTCGATGGGAACCTTCTAAGTTGTTTAACTTGAATGGTTGTCTTAATCTAAAAGTTTGCTTGCTTAAGGGAAAGAGAGGTTGATTTTTTATTAGAGTGCTCGCCAAGGATTGTGACACTTGTGCCTACGTATCCTCACTTAAAAGAAGTGAAGAATAAGAGCTCCGTAGTTCGGAGGCTTATGAAATGGTTGTTTGTTGGTTGATTTTATACCTTAAAAAAGGGTTTTCGGATTGATGCCTTAAGGCGAAAAAAAGTTTGATGAGTTGATGTTATTTTAAGGTTTTTTTAGAAGAAATTATTTTTGATTAGGATCACACTAGAAACTTTGGATAGAGATGAATGTTTCGAATAACTAAGTCGAGCGCCTTGTATTCAAAATATTCGGACCGAGTGTAAGAGGGTTCCATTCTCCTTCCTTCTCCACCACTTTAAAGCTTATGGCGTATAACCCTAATCGTATCTTTATCATTTTTTTTGGATTTTTTATGAGAAAAATACCACTTGATGTTGGATCAAGGGTTTTATTGTTTGTAAAAAATATTTGAAGTGATGCGAACAAGGTCGATGGCGACGCACAAGGCAATCGACTTACAAGGGTGAAAATGGCTCGATAAAATCGAAAGTTTATTTTTGAAAATAGTTTTTGGAACCGAAAGTCAAAAATGACCGTAATAATACTCACATACAATGGTCGTACAACCACATCAGGTTAATTGGCTTGAAAAAAAACACAAAACATGAAGAAAAAAAAAGCACGAAAACAACAAGAAAACACAAAACTATGGGAAGTTCGCTGTGCGAACCTTGCAGCGAAGCTGCCCAGAAAACAACAAGAAGTTCGATGTGCGAACTTCCCAGCAAACGTACACTATTTATAAACAGAAGCAAAAGGGACTGAAGTTCGCTGTGCGAACCTTGCAGCGAAGCTGCCTAGTAAAAATAGCAAGGAGTTCGCTGTGCAAACGCAAACAGAGGCAAAAGGTGTTAAAGTTCGCAGTGCGAAGGTGCCAGCGAGAAACAAGGGAAACTGACTGTCTAGTGGCACTTTGAGTGCCATGAACTGATGTCCGCTAGGCGAAGGAGATGTTTGCAATGCGAACATGACAGGAAAATGAGTATTTTTAAACTCATTTCACTATGAGGACTACACTATGTTCTTTATTTCTTTGTTTTTTTTTACAACATTCCCTGGTTACTCTTGAGACCACATTACAATATATACAACACAAAAAACACATATAAATAAAACATGCAAAAATGTAAAAAGATAAGAGTTTGAGAGGAAAGATACCCAAGAGCTACTATCCTCCTTCACCAATGGTCTTTGTTGGATGTGCTTCTATGATCCACTTCCTTCTTCTGGTTTTCTATCCCTCTCTTGTTCTCTCAATGTTTTTCTTTTCAATCTTCTTTTTTCTGTTTTTTCTCTTACTCTTTTTTTTTTTTCTCAATGCCTCTTGCTCTCAATATCTCTCTATGTGTTAATGTCTTAATCTCTTACCTCAGTTGCTCCCTTATTATCCCTAAAACATTAGGGTTTTCCTTCCTTTCAAAACTTCATATTTTTTACTTAGAAATGTCCAATGCCACTTTCTTGATGTCACTCTCTTTCTTTCCATTTTCATGTGTGCTGCTATGCTGTATTTTTGCTGCTACACTTGCTTAGGCTGTCTTTTTTCTGCTGCACTTGTATTGCTCTCAAATCTTGTACCTACTTGTTGGCTTGTGCTTGGACTGCCCTTGTGGTCAATGTTACTACCTTTGACAACATTTTGAAATTCTGATATTTGATCTGTAGATGCATCACCATGAGTTTATTACTTTGGCCTTGTGACATGAGATGTTTGGTTATGAGGCAAATTGTCACTTTTGCATGGGACTGTTTTAGATCACATTAAAATTGCCCATGACTAAGCATGCATAGTCTTGATCTTGAAATGTTCCAATGTTAAGTTGAATCTT